TGAGGACAACTATAGAACAGCCTTAAAATTTTAGATAGCATTTTAGTGTCCCAATTGGCCCACAGGTTTTTTCCAGAGAAGGTAGGTATCAATATGTAGTCAATATATAGATCAATGATTGGTCATTTCCTATTTCTTTTGGTAACACCTGAGGAGGAATTTCTAGATATATTCAGAAGTCTGTTAGCCATAGACTGAAACCAAATTAACTTATGCAAATCTTTATTGGTGATTCTCTAAATCACTTTTTGTTTCCTTTATAGTTTACTGGCAGATATAAGAAGTTTTGCAAAAAACTGGGAACAGTGGGTTGCTTCCTCTTTGGAAAATCTACCAGAAAGCCTGATAGATAAGAAATTGCCTATTGCACGAAGATTTGTTTCCTCCCTGAAACGACAGACGTCATTCCTACACCTGGCACAGGTAAACAGAATAAGATTATACATTCAAAAATGTGTCAGTTGTATTCAGTCTACTCTTCTGGCTATGAGATACAATGCATTATTTTTTCAGGGTTGACCTTCAGCCTTGAAAGCCCTAAATCTTGTAGTTCTAACCATGAAATTAGAAAGTGACCATAAATAGATTTGACCAGAACTTCGATCTTACGTACCAGAAAAGAGAGCAAAGACCATGGTTATAATGAACTGTCATCACAGGAACTTTTTCCAATGAAATGATCAAGTGGAATATATGTGTGGTTTTTTTAGTACCAAACTGGAAAATACCAGATGATTCCTCTTGCCTAGCAAAGATTCACTGTCTTGTCCGTGTTGTTCTATTTCTGTTTGAGTTTTGAGTGAGAAGAAAGAATGAAGGAATGACAGGTAGTTGAAGACTCCAAGGCTATGTCATCAGGATACAGGTGTCTGCAGTTAGGAGTCACCTCTGTGTGATGGTTTTATAGATTACCCAAAAGGATTGCATGCCTTTTGAGGAACTTCCTTCTATGCTAGCATCTCGGGCTTTGAGGTGGTAGTCCTCATGCGTAACTGTAGACACTCCACAGATTCATCTTAACTTGATTTTCTCTTTCATAAATACAAAAGCAGCATATGGGTGATCTTGTGAAGATAATCTGATAGAAAGGCACATTAGAAGAGCATCAGGAGTCTAATGAAAGGGAAACATTATCTCATCGGAGCTGTGATAAACCCAGCCATGACAATAAAATTAAACATAAGATTCTTCTCTGAGCAGTTTTTTGGGTGATCCCTAGGTGTGGGCCTGTACTGGTTTTGTCTGTGATGGAGTTAATGTTATTCATCATAGTATGGGTCTAAATTTTGGATTTGTACTGGGAACTATTGACAATTCAGGGCTACTTTAGTTACTACTGAGCAGTGTTTACACACACCCAAGGTCTTTTCTGCTTCTTACACCACAATGCCAGCAAGTAAGTTGGAGGGGCACAGAAGTTTGGCAGGGGACATAGCTGGGTCAGCTGGCCCCAGCTGATCACAGGGATATTCCATACCACAGATCAACAATAAAACTGTGGAAATGTTGGCAGGGGACCACTTCTCAGGGACCTGGCTCGGCATTGGTCAGTTGGTGGTGAGCAAGTGTTTTCATTTGCATCACTGTTCTTTTTAGGACTGTAGTTTTCTCAGTTGTTTTTTGGTGTTTCTTTTAAACTTTTAAATTGTTATTGTTGTTGTTGTTATTATTTTTATTCTTTCTTTTAAAACATTATTAAGCTGTTTTTAACCTAACCAACAAGTTTTCTTACTTGTACTCCTTTAATTCTCTCCCGCATCCCTTGGCAGGGTAGATAGCGGTTGAGTGGCTGTGTGGTGCCTAGCTGCCAGCTGGGGCAAAACCACAACAGGATCTCAGTATTTTACCTTGATTTCTCTTGCAGATTGCTCGACCAGCTCTTTTTGATCAGCATGTGGTGAATTCCATGGTGTCGGATATTGAAAAAGTTGATTTGAATAGTATTGGTTCTCAGGCCCTTCTTGCAGTTTCAGGCAGCACAGACTCTGATGGGGAAGCCTATAGTGAATGTAAGTCCATGGTAACATATTTGGACCATTAAAAGTAATTAATTCTTTCATTCTGTGCCACACCAGTCTACTTGGACTGACTGAGACAGGGCACTCGAAGACTCTGCATTCTCTAATCTAGTTCACCATAAACTTCAGGAGGTTAGGAAAACAAATTGGTTGCCCTAGCATGTCCTACAAGAACAGAAGCTTGTGCTGGAAAGTCATCCCAGCTAGATAACTTTAAATGGTTGTTGAAAAATTCATTTATATCACTTGAAAACCTCTTTTGGAACTTGGTCCTAATTATATGGGGATATTGCACAGATCAGTTCTTGAAAGATTTATCCAAAATATCATTTCATTATGGCTTAATAAAATGAATACTTGAACTAGTTTACTTTTTTTAATTAATCATATTTTCTTCTGAAAGTTGAGCTTTAAAAATAGATGTAATTTTCTATTTAGTGTAGCAGCTATTTTCATACACAGAATAGAGTGAACTATAAATTTTG